CCCTTCGTGCTTGGGGCTGCACGCTGGTTTGTGGGCTGTTGATGAAGCCGTCTGGGTGGCTCGCATGATTCTGCCAGCCTCGCAGGGACCTTCTCAGCCTCGCAGGGGCCGTCGCAGCCTCACTGGGGCCGTCTCAGCCCCACCGGGATCGTTTTAGCCTCACTGGGACTGTCGCAGCCTCACTGGGGCCATCTCAGCCTCACAGGGGGCGCCGCATCCCATGTTGGGGGTGAAGTTGCGAGTCAGAAGCTACTCTCGCTGTCTCTCCTGCTGGAAGTTTCTGAGAGTCGTCTGCAGGTGCTGGACATCATACTTCAATTGGTCAACACAAAGTTTGGCATTCTGTCTTTTGTTGGGAGCCTCCTTGCTGGACAAAATCTCCAGGCTTTCTAGCTGGCTGAATATCTGGTATGCTTGCTTGGGTTTCGTTTTCTACTAAGTGCACAGACTGCTTGTCTGCTGTCTCCCGGTGTCCCATGTAAGACTGGATTTGGTGGACCTGCTTGTGTGTTTACTGGTACAGCGGTTCCATGTCGCCCGCCCAGCCAGGTCCAGCTCCGGCTTCCTCCGAACCTGAGTTTGCTTCTTGAGTATGTCCCTTATGGGTGCGAGGAGTTGAAATCTGCAGTTTGTTGGGTTATGCTGCAAAAGCGCAGGTGGTTCCTTTTGTGCCACTGGCACAGCTTGTTTTACTATGGTTGCAAATATAAAAAAATTTCTATATGTGACATGGCACCGGAGTTAAGTTAGGGTTTTTCAAAATGCTGGCACGCCAAGCTCAAAAGGTTTGCCATCCCTGATCTAGGAGAACTGACCCAGTACAGTTTCTGAACCGCCCCAGTTAAAGACCTGTCAAAATACAACCCCATCTTGTGAGCCCAGTGTCTTGGGGGTGTTATTATGTGTCCTGGAAGCCTAACTCTTCAGAGTAGGTCTTCAGTGAAGCATTGAACGATACTGCCAGCCTGGGCTTGCAAAGTGGTCATTAGCGTGGAGATCTTAAAGTCTAAAATGACGTCTGGATGCTTTTCATTTATTGAATCTCATTGCTACCTTTGCGGTGGCGTTGAAGGCTCTGTAGACAAGCAACTAACATGGATTAGTATTTGTAATCTGACAAAGTCTTGACCAAGACTCTTCAAGGACTATTTTCTTCTGTTCTCTAGAGTGCCTTTCATTTCATTGTGTTTATTGCGGTTGTGCTGTGAGGAAGCTTTTTTTATTTAGTTGTTGTAGTCTGGACTGTTTGTTTTCTCTATTTTGTCTGGTGGTTGGGGTCACATCCAGAAATCCTGTCCAAAACAAAACTCCAAAACTTTTTCTCTAGGTTGTCCCGAGGAGTTTTAAGTTTTAGCGCTGACATTTAATTCTTCTGTCCTGCAGGTTGAGCTACATTTTATCTGTGAGGGACAGTTATGTTGTTTTACATGTGAATGTCGATTTATACCTGCAGCATTCATTGAAGAAACCATCTGTTTCTTCGGTGTCGTCTTCCAGCTCTGTCAAAGATGGCTTGAAAGTATATGCCTGGGTTTATTTCTGTGTTTTTTGTTCTGTTCTACTGATCGATGTGGCTGTGTTTCTCCAATAATACACTGTTTCCTTGTTTTGTCTTTGTAATAAACTGGTACCACCAGCTTGTTCTTGCTCAAGATTGCTTTTGTTAGTGGGCACATACATTTCAAGATTCCCTTTTCATTTCTTTGAAAATACTATTGGAGTTATCATTGGGATTGCATTCAATCTGTAAACAGCTTGGTGTACTATAGATATTTTCACGATGTTTCTTTTTCAAATTCATG